TAAAAAAAAAAAAAAAAGTAGCTGGTCCCTGGACCACACTTAGGAAAACACTGGTGTAAGGCCAAGTTTGTGCTTGAAACTAAGGCAACCATTTAATTCCAAACTGCTTTCTACTGAGTGACTTCATGTGGATCAGTGACTGCAATGCTTTAGCTTTTCCAGACTGATAGGGTCACTGTGATAGGCAACAGTGTGGGCCCCTTCTGACAAAATAATCCTCCTCTGACCCAGAAGCCAAGAGAACACTAGAAGCATACATAAATTACTAGCTCAGCTCTAAGAATGAGTTTTACTGAATTTCCATCTGAATCTTAAGCACCAGCTCAATAACTTGGGGGAAATGATATTAATTATAAAAGTGAAAGGAGGTTTCCTTGTTATAAAACCAATCATCTGAGCTGAGGATGCAAGCTCAGTGGAAAAGCCCTTGTCTAGCATGCACCAGGAGCTGTGTTTAATCCCCAATACTGAAAAAAAAAAAAAAAAGCTAAAGAAAATCCATTTTAGATAGTATTACCCAAGAATGATCCATACATTCGGGGAATTTGTTGTTGTTTGGTCTTACATGAGAACATCCTTAGTAGGGTTAGGGCTACAGCTCAGTGGTAGAGTGCTTGCCTAGCATGGCTTTGATCCCTCGTACCACCCACAAAAAAAAGAACATCCCTACTAGTAAGCAGCAATCACTCTCTTCAAAACTTTTGAGCTCCACAGGGCGGCCATTACTATTCTGACTAGGTTAGTGGGCACCTGTTGTTTATGTCACTCCAGTTGTATCCTCTCTTCTGATGATGGCAGGTCATTCATTCTGCTTTGGACAACTACTCCATTGCATGGATCTTCACGGAGGCTGCCAATCACAATGCTTCCCGGCCAAAGGATGTGAATCCATGACCCCATCTAGACCAATCAGACACTCTTCCTGGAATATGCATGCCTGCCATCATCTTCAGGCCAGAACTCCTCACCAGCAGGGACCAGGTCTTACTCATCTCTCTATCTCTGATGCCTAGCACAGTGCCTGGCCATGAATATTCAGCACATGCGAGTTCAATGAATTACACAGAAAATCAGGCACCTTAAACAAATGCTGAACTAAGTCTATCATTTTCCAACAGAATTCCGGAGAGGAGCAAATTGTGTGGTGTTTTGTGAGGGAAATGTCCACTTTAGTAGCTAGGAAATATGCATCGGAAATAGTATCCAAAGTTGCCATTTCTCTGTGCATTGAAGATGTCAATCAGTCCAATAAAATAAAGCCAGAAAAAAAGACAAAAGGAGAATTACCTCATTACCTCAACATCTGCTTGAACATAAGCAATCACACATTGGCTAATTTTTTTTTTAAGGGACATAATATAACTTTCTAGAAAGACATAATATAGCTAATTATACCATTCACTAGAAGGGAACATACAATGTTTTGAAGTAATTCAGAAGTGGGTGTGATTTATAAGACACAGAGCTTAGGGAATGGTAAGTATAAATTAGAGATTGTTCATATTATGACAGACTCCGTCACTGCATTTCACAACTTTTGTCAAAAGCAACCTCATTCACCACACCACTGAAGGCATCACATGAGGGAAACTGCTGTCAGAGCTGCAGTTTAGACCTTCTTTCTGCATACCCTCCTGAGGAATGGGTTCGAATTTGAGACTTAAAACTCACTAAGGAAGGAACCACATGATGAAACTCAAACACCCAATAAGCACATAAAAATACCTCCAATTTCACCAATAACAAGGGCAATACAAATTTTTAAAGGTACCATTTTGCCCACTTGGCTGGCAAAAATTCAGAAACTTGTCAAGCTGTCAAATTAGTAAGGATGGCTAACAGTCAATGTTAACCAGCACGTGGGGATAGAGAGGCTACTTGGGGAATGTGAACTGATATAGCCATACTAGGGGGCATTTTTTTCAATATTTATTTTTTAGTTGTAGTTGGACACAATACCTTTATTTTATTTATTTATTTTTATGTGGTGCTGAGGACTGAACCCAGGGCTTCACATGCACTCCACCACTGAGCTAAAATCAGCCCCCTATAGGGCATTTTTTTTTAACTCTCTAGCAGAACTTTATTATGTACATGACCTCTAACCCAACAATTTCACGTCTAAGAATCTATACTAGAAAAAAAATGGGTAATTGTACATTTATCAGTGTGATTATTTGATTAATGATATCTATGAGACAAAAAAAAGAAAAAAAGCAAAGACAAAAATTTTCTAGTTCACTCCCTGGGCCCCCAGTGCCTAGCACATGGGCCCCACCTGTGGTAACCACATAGTATTTGTTAAAGGAAGGAAAACATGTGTTTACTTGGAATTAAAAAAGGAAACTAGTATATCTACTCAATGATGGTTCTTCTCCTTCCTATCAAACAGGGGTAGTGAAATGAGGACTCAAAGCGTTAATGGGTAGAACACACCGAAACTTTACAAAATTCATCATAATACTGGAGACACCCAAAGAGCCTGAGTTCTCATTTCAAATCCCTAGCTTTCCAGTTAGTTCCATAAGTCAAGCAACAATTAAATACTCTTGAAATAAGTTAACTGTTATCACAGTCAATGATCCAATGGTAAATGCCCTGCTTTGAGATATATAAAACTCATACTATGGGCTGAAAAAAATCCTCACACCTGGATAACTAGACTCAACATCATTAAAAAAAAGTGTACTTTTAATAAACACAAATTTCAAAGTCAACTGTTCTATTACCTTTGATATGCCTTTAATCAAGGAAATATAGCCTCTGAAAATACCAACACCATGGATGTTTCCTAATACAACAGAAGAAACATAAACTTAGAAATACACCCTTTTTCCTCACTCCTTAATCCAACATGGAGACAGAGAACATGTTCCAAAATCAAATAAAAACAATTTGTGGGTTACTTGCATTGTTAATCTGCCCTTAAAAATATATACAGAATGAAAAGGAAGTAACTTTTTATTATTCGAAGACTGAGCATCCATCAAGAGATGTGATATCCAGTAATACTAATAATGAAAGTTCCATGTGTCCAGGAATATGAATCAAGAGTCTAGAAATAACATTCAAATAGAATGCAGCCCTTAATAAAACTTGAGATTTCCTATAAAGGAAATTCTGCCCATCCAGCAGATTCACTGGTTCTTGACTTCATGCCCTCAGGCTAGTCTAGGCTGGGAAGTGAAGGTGCTAGGACCAAGAAGACTAACATCTATCCAGCACATTCCAGATACTAGATATCAAAGAGAAATGTGCAATGTCCACTTTAGAAAAGTTAAGTAATTTCCTCCAAGGTCACACAGTACATGGTCCTATTAAGAATTTTTTGCAAGGAGTACCCTTGCAGATGGGAAGATGGTGTAATCAAGAAGCAACAGGTTATACATAGTACTGGACAGGAAGGACAATGTGACGTCTGGTTTAGTCCTTGTTTTTAGACAGGTAAAGCTTGACTGAAACCACAAGATCCAAGGAAGGGCGGACATTCCTCCAAGTTCACAAAGCTTCTGAGCTGAGCCAAGAGAAGCAGAAGAACTGAGACTAAACACAAGGGTTAGCCAAAGAGCAGGGCCCCTTTCACTTTCTGGCCATGTCAGCAAGTCACTTAGAGAAGCACAAGTACCTACTCGTTTTTTACTTCCTAAATCTCCATGTTCGGCTCCTTCTTGACCCACATTCTCAGACCACCCTTTGATCAGGGTAATAAGAATTTTTAAAATGTGTTAGATTAACAATGGCTCTCTGATCTGGCTTTGTTCAGAAGGGTGATAATGATGAAAATGATTGAAACAGCTCTTTATTGAGGGATAATCCCCAGTTACAAGCAGTAGAGAAACGTGTGCACAGGGCCTGGCTGCCCTGTGCCCAGCGCCAACACTGTCCATTCAGGAAACCAGGCGCACAGACAGGGTGTTGATTCACTGACTAATACACTGCTAAAAATGGGAAGTGATAAAAACACATCGCGGCCTGA